AGTATGTTTCTTTGAACCCAATAAGCAGCTGACTTCTTTCAAAGAAATTAAAGAGGAAAGTAACCAAGACAGTAATAAATAAAAGAACATTAAAAAAATCTAAAGCCATTATCTTTAATCTCTGTTTCTACAAAACTATACATATTCTTTATACATTTTACTATCACTGTCAAACACTATGAGAATAGTTAGAAACTTTAAACAAACTTCTATCAAATAACCAGTAAGTGGATATTTTTAGTGACATCTCAATTCCTAGAGATTATTTCAGTTATCTTAAACTATCAATTATATCATCAGCTTAATGACTATTTAAATGATTGTTTAGTTGTACTAGAAGCATCATTGGTTTTTGAGTAGGTAAAACATTTGAGTCTGTCAAATTCGAATATGTTATACATAAATATAGCCTTATTCTATTTCATATTTTCTATACTCCCCAAATTGCAATCCATAAATTAAAGTCTCAAATGAGTCCTTTCTTACCAATAGTTAGTACTTTTGCCAGGCGAAGACTTAAACTTCCTCTCATCAACTAAAATACTTTATTAGAAAGATAAAGTAATGCTTAATCAGATTCTAGTATCCTCTTAGAAGTTTTTTCTTTTGAAATTCTCACTACTAAGATTCAAATGCAACATAGTTTTCATTATTTTTCAAAGAAAGAGCCATTCTGGATGAATCTAATGATGTATCTGCAGAGAAAGAGTTACACTAAAAAGAGGCAATACAGCAAAGTGGAAAGAGCAAAGTGTCTTGGATTTAGACAGACCTGCAGTTGTATTCCAGCTCTGCCATTTACTAAGACAAGTGATCTAACCTTCCCAAGTTTTAATTTTCCTGAACATAAAATAAGAACAATAATACTCCTTTGTATAAGAAGATAAGAGGATTGAAGATAATGGGGGTAAGGGTCTAGCATAATGTTCAGCATTTAGCTGGTACTCAATAAATGATAGCTATTACTATAGTACAAGAGTTTTGAGTAATGTGACCCTGAGTCTGAAATCCTCAAAGGATTAAGATAATCTAGAGTTTGCTTGAGATTCTTATATCTTCCACAAAACTAAAACAAGGTAAAAGATATAAAGGAATAAAATCATAGTTCTTCAAGAAGATTCCTTAAAGTATTTTGTGGAGAAGAAATATTTGGAATTAAATTAGATCATTCCCAGTTAAGTGAGTATTTACTTAATCCTTAAATTCCTTTGGGGAAGAATAATATACAGCATTCTTCTCAACAGCTCATCCTGAAGGATAAAAGCCTTTTTTTCAAAAGGAAAGAAGACATGTTAATTTTGGTCCCAATTGTCATTTCCTCTAGAACAACAGATGGCAGTGTAACAAGTTTCAGTGGACCTAGACATCTATCTACAGAAGCAGAATCTACAGTAACTGAGGGAGAATACTACATCCCAGTTCAGCTCCCATCTTGCAAAGGGAAGCCACTATATTTGGGTTTTTCCCCCATTACTAGGAGCTTTTGTAGTTTAACCCAAGTACAGAACATATGCCATGATGATTTAATGCCAAATGATGGAAAAATCTTCCCTCTCTAGATCGAAAATGTGTATTTGCATTTTTAAGCATATGGGTTTTGATCATTGCTAAAGGTCAGTGTAAACTTTGGAGACTTCTTTGTAAATTTTATCTTAGCCATACAAACAAGAAACATAGGAAGTATAACTATTATGGCAGTAGAACAAAACCCCTATAACACTGTACCAAAGCCTTAGGAAAATGCCAGAAACAAAATGAAATATAGACAAGAGGAAGCCAGGCTGTAAATATCCACAGAATGGTAGAGGGACATGGAGACATCAGATAGTCATGGAAGTGTTTGTGCTACCAGTTTTGAAACTTGTTAATTGACTGGTAATTGAAATAAAGCCCCCCAAATCTAGCCTATTCTAAAAAAAGGTGATTACATGCATGTTCAGATTCACAATTAATTTTCATTGAGTACTTATTGAGGTGATTTTCATAAACGTCTCTTTAATCATTAGGATAGCCCTGTGAAGTTGATATTTTAATCCCCATTTTGCAGCGGTGGCAAATGAGACCCAGAGATGATAAATATTTTACTCCATGCCTCACGTTGTAGAAGGATAGAAAAACAGTAGGTCATATATTTATAAAGACAGTAGTGTTTTCAGTAAACCAAGAAAACATACCTTCGAGGATCTCTAAACATGGTAAGAAACAAACACCCTACAGTGTGAGTACTGCTGAGTACATTGTTGACAACAGTCAAAACTTTACTTCTTCCTACCATAGTATTGTTTTCATTTTCCTCTCCTTCAAGTTCTCTTTATTGTTTTTCCTTTTCTCTCTATCATTTTATATCACTTTATATTTCCTCTTTTTCTTATCTGTCTATCCTTGAGCCATAAGTCTCCTAAAGGCACAAAATACACAAGATGTTGCTTAATCCTTCTGATAGCATTCAGAGGAAGGGCAGTTAATGCTATACATTGGAATTTTTAATTCTCTAGCAATTCTAGAGCATGTTAGCAGTCTACCTACCAACCATCAGCATAACTCAAGACATCTTAATTGTGGGAGTGATATATCGGGGCACATGCATTTATGTTGCCTGACTTTGACTCCAGTTCTAAAATTAATGATGACCATAGTTAAGTTACTTTGTATATGACATTAAGAAATTAGCATTATTGGGGACGAATAATAAAACATCATTTTGGCCAAGAGGCATATAAGGAATCTATTGAAATATATGCTTTAAAAATGTTTGATACATATTTTTCTTACCCAAGCTGCTACCACTCACTGTGGTACCTTTAGAAGTCAATGGTCCAGTTGTTGATACTGTTCCTCCACTAAGCTGAGATGGATAGTAACTGAGAGGCCTTTCATCTGATGATAACTGTGAAAATGTCAGAGCTGTAGAGTCTGAACTTGTCTGTGGGAAAAAATGTACTGAAGATCGTTGTATCACTAGGGAAACTCCAGATTTGTCTCCACTTCTGTGTACAAAAATAAAATAAGCAAGTCAAAACAGCTATGAATACAAGAAGCATGGGCTATCATTATTACCTAGAGTTCTGCTTTTCATAAGTATTATGCAT